AAATGGGAAGCGTCAATTCTGTGGCGAGGGTTAGAGAGATGGAAACACCACCCTCAGAGACATGTAGACTTAGCGGAGGCTATGGCAGGAAACCATCATTTCACATGTGGATATGTGTGTTCTAAAAGGGTTCCATCTTCTTGCAGCCATCGGTTTTGACCTTCACTCGTATGTAAGGCTTATTTGGGGGGAGGTTGCTACTGTTTTATGCAGTTCCTAATTTAAGAGAGGGCTATTTCCAAAGGGTCTGCTTCAAGTAGCAACAAACACACTTGGTGTCCACCTCTTGGGTTTCTAATACCATTTTCTAATAAGAGACCCAAGGCTCCTTGGAGAAATGGATGGTTCTGGGGCCACGCAGATGTAGGTACACAGAAGCACCTTATCATATTTCATAACTTCTTATGAATCATAAGATTCTTCCAAGACAGATTTGTCTGTTTGCCTGCCAGTCTATGGTATATTTAACATTCTTCTCTGTGGATCTAAGGGAAATGAAATCCTTTCCAGCTTCCGCCGCGTCTCTGTTGATTACGGGGCGGCTTATTGGTTCTGTTCTGAGGGGGTTGTTTCTAGATAGAGACGTCCTTCATCCGTGCTGAACGCCGCCGCCCTCTGTCTTCAGTAGGAGGTGCTTCAAGTCTTCTTTACTTTCAGCAAGCAGTGTGTCACCTGCATACTGCAGGTTGTTAATGCACGCGAATTTCCTCTTCTAATCTTGATGCTCCATTCTCTAGAGGCCAGTTTCTCGGATGATCTGCTCAGCATACAGAGTGGAAAAGGATGGTGAAAGGACACCCCCTAACATACCATCCCTGGTTGGGACGGTCTCTTCTGTATATGGTTCCTATGTATACATATATGTATATAGTCTGCATACATATCCAGAGGATATGGTCCCTGTATCCTCTGTTCTATTTGAATGACTCCCTCTTGGTGACACACAGGTTCTGCATGTACAGCACAGATCCTCTGGAATCCCCAGGCTTCACAATGCTTCACGATGTTAACCACGGTTTGTTATGATCCACACAGCTGAATACTTTGGCATAGCCAATGAAACATAGGTAAACATCGTTCCGGAATTCTCTACGTTTAGCTAAGATCCAACTGATGTCAGCAATGCCATGCCTTTCTTCATGTCCTCTTCTGAATCCAACTTGAATTTCTGTTAAGACCCTGTGACTGTACTGCTGTGACTATTTTTAAATTCTCCTCAGGAAAACAATGCTTGCATGTGATTATGAATGATACTGTTAGATCATTTCTGCCTCCTGGCGGGTCACTTTTCTTTGGAATGGGCACACATATGAATCTCTTCCCATCAGGTGGACACACGCTATCTGCCAAATTTCTTGGCGTAGACAAGGGTGTGCTTCCAGTACTGTGTCAGTTTGCTGAAACTTCTCAATGTCAATTCTTGGAGCCTTGTTTTGGGCCAATGCCTTCATTACAGCTTAAACGAAGTCCTTTAATTCCATCAGTTGTTGACCAAGTGCTACCTCAAAAAATGGTTTAACGTTGACCAATTGGGTGAGTCTGTGCATTCCTTCTATCTTCCCATGATTCCTTTGTCATTCAGTATTTTTCCCCCACGTAATTCTTCAATACTGCAATTCAAGGCTTGAATATTCTCTTCAGTTCTTTAAGCGTGAGAAATGCTGAGCATATTCTTTGCTTTGGGTTTTCCAACTCCCAAGTCTTTGCACATTTAATTATAATACTTTCTTTTCTCAAGCCTGAAAATAGGTAATTTCAATGAACTATTCATTGTGTTTGCAAAATTCTATCACATGATCTCTGGGCCAGGCCATATTTCCACCCGAGGATTCTTTTTGGTTTCCAACTTTGACATTCCAATCACCAGAAAATCCCCAGTAGGCAATGCACCTTTGCTGCATGTTTGGCCCATTTCAGAGTTCGGAAGTTGGTGAAAATCCTCAATTTCTTCATTGTTGGCATTAGTGGTTGGTGTTTGAATGATAGTCACCCTAACTGGTGTGAATAGTTATCTTATCCATAGGGTCGTACTTTAGAATAGACCTCGACATGTTCTTTTTGATTAGGAAAGTGACACCACTCTCAAATTTGTCAATCCTGGTATAACAGATCAGACGAAATTGGCGTGCATTAACAACCTGCAGGATGCAGGTGACACACTGCTTGCTGAAAGTAAAGAAGACTTGAAGCACCTCCTACTGAAGACAGAGGGCGGCGTCCTTCAGCACGGATGAAGGATGTCTCTATCTAGAAACAACCCCCTCAGAACAGAACCAATAAGCCACCCCGTGATCAACAGAGACGCGGCGGAAGCTGGAAAGGATTTCATTGCCCTTAGATCCACAGTCGGTGTTCACAGAAGCAGCAGTCAAGAAATCAAATGACATACTGCATTTGGGCAGATCTGCAGAAGACCTCATTAAAATGTTAAAAAGCAAAGATGCCACTTTGGAGATTAAGTTGTGTCTGACCCAAACCATGGTACTTTCAGTCCCCTTTGTACACACAAGAAAGCTGAGCAATGAATAAGAAAGACCGAAGATGACTGACGTCTTTGAAATATCGTGTGGGTAAAGAATGTTGAATATACCATAGACTGGCAGGCAAGCAAACAAGCCTGCCTTGGAAGAACAGCCAGGATGCTCCTCAGAAGTGAGGATGGTGAGATGTTGTCTCATAAGCTGTGGGCATGAAGGGGAGAGGAAGACCCTTCATGAGCAGAATTGCCTGAGTGGCTGCTACAATGACCTTCAACATGGCAAGACTTGTACGAGGGCACAGAACTGGGCAGTTAGTTGTTCGACCTGTTGTAGATCAGGTTGCTGTAGGGGGGCCACTGATTCAGTGGCGCCCAACAACAGTGTGCTGGTTTATGTTCAGCTTTCTGAAGGATTGCCACACCTTGCCACAGCAGCTGTGCCAATTCAGAATCCTACCAGCAATGGAGGAGGGTTTCTGTTTTCCCGCCACCTTGGCAGCACCTTGTGTTGTGTGGTTTGGTTTGGTTTTGAATCATTCTCATTCTAATGAGGGTAAGGTTTGCATTGTGATTTTGATTTGCATCTCCCGAATGGCTATAATTATATGAAGAAAAATGTAGCATCTGGATTGGAGGAAGGCTCATTAACAAACCTGTGATTGGCAGATGAACAACCTTGCTTGCTGTTAAAGTGGCGAAGAATTGAAGCACTTGCTTGTAAAGATCAAGGATCGAAACCCCTAGTATTGATTACAACTCAATGTAAAGAAGACCAAAATCCTCGCAACTGGACCAGTAGGTAACATCAGGATAAATGGAGAAAAAGTTGACGTTGTCTTGCTTGAATTGGCAATCGGTGTTCATGGAAGCGGTAATGAAAAGGTTGAAGGACATGTTGTCTTGGGTAAATCTGCTGCAGAAGACCTTAGAGTTTTGAAAAGCAAAGGTATTACTGTGAGGACTGAGGTGTGCATTATCAGTAGACATTGAACTAGGAAGGCCAAGGAAGAATCAATGTGTGTGAAGTGTGCTGCTGAGGGATGCCGGAGTCCCACGGACTGCCAAAGAACCCACCTGCCTTTCAAGGACTGTGGCGGCCAGAGTGTTCATTAGGGGCCGGGACCGTGAGACTTCATCTCACATGCTTTGGACATGTAGGAAGAAGAGAGCAGTCCCTAGAGCAGCTGTTCTCAACCAGTGGGTCACGACCCCTGGGAGGGGGGAGGGGTTGAGTGACCCTTTCACCGGGGTCACCCGATTCATCACAGGATCAAAATGACAGTTAGGAAGTAGCAACGATAATAATGTTCTGGTTAGGAGTCACCACCAGCTGAGGAACTGTATTGAAGGGTCGCGTCATGGGAAAGGTTGAGGACCACTGCCCTAGAGAAAGACCTCATCCTCGGTCACGTAGAGGGACAACAAAAAAGAGGAGCTGGTCTGACACCGTAGCTGCCGTAATGGGCCCACGCATGAGAACATGTGGGGCCAGCTCAGTGCCGGCAGTGGGCAGTGTATTATTCTGCTATTCAGAGGGTGGAATTGGGTCAGCGCGCAGTGGTACCTGGCACCATCAACAACTCATGGCGAAGCGCATGGGGCAGCGGGGCGGCAGTGAGTTTTGAGTGAATGGCGAGTCACTTTAAGCGCCTTTTCATTTGCTTCCTGGCCATTTGAGTATCTTCCAATGGGAGATGGTTCTAGATCACATTCACACACCACCACCACCACCACCCTCCCGCCCCCGCCCCCCCAAATAAACAAACTTTTTTTTTTGATTGGGTGGTTTGGTTGGTTGGTTGCTAAGTTGTAGAAGTATTTAAAATTTTTGTAAATAAACCTTTATCAAATACGTGGTTCCCCCAAATGTTCTCCCATTCAGGGGCTTTTCCCTCTTCCTTTAAAAGTCTTTGGATGCACACACATATTTAATTTGGGGAGGTCTTGTTTGTCTAGCGTGGTGGTTTACTGCTCAGCCTTTGTACTCAGCCCATCACAGAAACCCAGATCCCAAAGCTTCGTCCCTGCGTTTCTTTCTGTGAATGTTAGTTTCCGTTTGTTTTTTTTTCCCCAATCGTTTTATTAGGGCTCATACAACTAGTATCACAATCCATACATACATCAATTGTGTAAAGCGCACTTGTACATTCATTGCCCTGTTTCCGTTTTCAAGATTAAGGTTCTCGGTCCGTTTTGAATGTTCCCTGTCTGTGATGTAAGAGCTGGATCCTGCCTAGCCCTCCCTTTCTTCCATCTCTTTCTCTGCTTCACTCTTGCTTTCTCCTCTAGCTCCCCTCTCCTCCACACCGCACAGCTGGAGGCTGGCAGGATCCGACTTTCAAAGCCCTTGTCTCCTAGGGAGCCTCGGATGAACTACTGCCTCTGCTTTTATTTTCATGGAAGATGGGAGTTGGCGCATTTTCAAACCTCCTGAACATCTGGAGACATCAGATACTGAGTGTCATGCCCTTGGATCTTGAGTATTGGGAGCTAGACATAATAATTCTTGTTACATTTTCAGGTCTATCATATGCCAGTCACACAGTTGGCTTCACACCACCAACCTCCCTGACTAGAGCCGGCATGTCTTATTACAACTCCCCAGGCCTTCACGTGCAGCACGTGGGAACCTCCCACGGCATCACAGTAAGTATGTGTGGAGCAGAAGCACCCACTCATCTCTCTCGGAGACCATAACTGGTATCCTTAGGCATTTACCTTCCTTTTTCTCACTCAGTGTGCCCTTTAAAACTCTGTAGCCTCCCCAACTGTTTGAAACCCAATCCTAAAGTGTTGAAATCACAGTCTTTCTCAGGAGGCAACATTTCAACCTCACCTCGTGAAAAATAGCCCTTTGTGAAATATGATTTGAAATCTGTCCAGTGCTTCCAATGAGCTCCTTGCTTTAAAGAGTTATTGATGGGTGCCTATGGATATGTGCATATATTTACTGCCTGCACTTCAGAGTTCATTGACTCAATGTAATTTCTTAAGTCACTCTTTTGTCTTGATTTTCTCAGGACTTTCCATCTCTGAATTAGAAGAAACTTTACATGTATCTGGTTCTGATTCAAATGAGTTTATTTCTTTATAGTAGGTTTTCAGTCAACTCAGATATTAATTAGAAATGCAAGTGATACCAAGCTACAGAGCAGAGGGTATTCCCCAAAAAAGAATATTGAAAGAAGATCCCTCATCCACAAAAGCATTTACCATAATTGTGACACTTTTGCCAACTCGGAGGACTGTTTGTAAACTTTCAAGAATTGACTCTACCTTGGATTTGAAAGGGGTTATAATTTGTTTAAGACAAACCATAATGATAAAAAGAACTGGGGACATAAGACTGGGAGCAAAGGTTTATGGAGAAGATATATCAGCTGGGACTTTTGTCTTCTCTCTCTCTCTCTCACTCTCTCTCTCACTCTCTCAGAACTATAAAGGAAGTGGAATTACTCTAGGTTGCTACTACAAATAGAATTCTAAGATAATGCTTAGATAAGACTCACAGAGGAAACTCTATCAAAGCTAACCAGCCGGGGCAGGGGCTGCCTCATGACCGTGGACTCACCATCACAAGAGTGACTCAAGCAGAGACCTAAGAGCCACAGTTTCAGGACATTTGATGCGTGTGCTGCATGGCGCTCGAGTCTCCATGTTGGGCTGCTGAAATCCGTTTATAGTCTGGGTCTGGCTTTTTAGCCTTGGTATTATGCAATTCTTTGGCATGGGGTCCTATCACTTTAGAATGTTTAACTGTATCTGCACCTTCTGCCATTAAATATGACAGCAACCCCATGATGCCTTAATGTCTCCCAACATCGCCAAATGTCCCCTGGGGCCGGTGCTCAAAATCCCCTCCTGGTTGAGAACTGCTGGCCTAAATTGATGACCTGTAAGCTCTGGAAGAAAGATAAAGTAGCCTCTGAAGGAAAATCACCAGGGTAGTCGCACAGATTTTGTTCTCTTAGACACCATTTATGTGAAGTAGGTGGTTGAAGCGCACTGCGTAAAACCGAGCAGATGTGTGGGCTGGCGTTTATGTTTAATCCCTAATGGCTTGACTTTCTTCTGTAGTTGGATATCTACCGTTTTATGGATTCTAAAGGTTTATTCCATGAAGAGCCGGATCTGGAAAAGGCTGGGGAGCAGGGCACACTCTCATATCAGGAGAGGCTGTGGTTATCCCTGAGAACGGAGACAGGCCTACCTGACAGGAGGCTTCCGTGGACATATTCTGGGGAGGAAATGCACAGCATTGCTCGTTTCTGGTTAACCTACTTCTATTTTTGGCAGTAAGAATTTTTTTCAAAACAAACCCGTAATTCCCGCGTCTGACTGGCTGATCTAAACCTTAAGGAACATCAAACGTCAGGCGAGAGGGACACAGATACGGGTCTCTTTCATGCTCTTGGCCAGGTCGTTGTCTTCCAAGGTTCTGGGTGTAAGTGAATAGACACTTCCAGCATTGCATCCACTTCTTGAACGCTCTCAGTTGGTGTTCTGTCAATTTTTGAAGAATGGAGTCTTGGTTTTTTGCCAAAACCTTCAGTGCAACTTGAGCTTCTTCCTCCAGTGCCATCAGTGTTTGATCATGTGTTACTTCCTGTATGGTTGGACATCAGCCCATTCTCTGGTACAGTGACTCTGTACATCCTTTTCATCGTTTTCTTGGTACTTCGTGCATCATTCAGTATTTTGCACGTAGAATCCTTCAATATTGCAACTTGAGGCTACAGTTTTTTTCTTCAGTTCTCTGAGAAATTCCATTAGTGTTCTTCTGTTTAGGTTTTCTAATTATTTGCACATTTCATTACAGCAGAATGTGGAAATTATTGAGCAGTAGCATTAATATCAACCACAAGTAAAGTTTTGCTTGACTTAAAGATAACTCAGAAATGGTTACATCAGTACACCAACAGAGAATTCTTAGAAATTCAAGTTAGCTTTGGCAGACGACATGAAATGAGAGCGATACCATCGTTGATGTCAGATGCACTTTGGCTGAAAGTAGAGAATACCAGAAGGATGTTTTTTTGCCTGTTTTTTTTATATTGACTATGCAAAGGCATTCAACTGTGGATTACAAGAAATTATGAAGAACATTGTGAAAAATGGAAATTCCAGCAGAGCTCATTGTGCTCAAACCTGCCCCAAGATCAAGAGGCAGTTGTTTGAACAGAAAGGACAAGGGGGTTTCTGAGTGGTTGGGTGGGGAAAGATGTGTCAGGGCTGCATCCTTTTACCACACTTACTCAGTCTTATGCTGAGAAAACAATCTGAGAAGCTGCACTCCTGAGAGAAGAACATGTGACATCATTGGAGGAAGAAACGCTTACAGCATGTGATAGCAAGAAGACACCGCATTGCTCGCTAAAAGCAAAGAGATTTTGGAGCACTTGGTGATGAAAATCAAAGATTACAGCGTTCTGTATGGATTATCCTTCAACATCAAACAAAAATCCTCACCACTGGACCAATAAGCAACTCCGGGGGTAGGAACTATATCTCATAGTTAATGGTTTCATTTTCCTTGGGTCCCCCATCAATGCCCATGAAGACAACAGTCAAGACACCAAATGTCAACTGTATTGAGCAGATATTTTTGTCCAAACATCTTTAAAATGTTAAAAGCAGAGCTGTCACCTTCAGGACGCAGGTGCACCTGACCCAAGGCACAGTGGTTTCACTTGCTTCATATGCACGTGAAAGATGGAAACCGATAACACTTGAATTATGGACCGGTAGGTAAAGAATATTGACTGTACCATGAACTGGCGGAAGAACCAAGCAAATCTCTTTCGGAAGAACTAAAAGAGTGCTTCCTAGAAATGAGGATGGTGAGATATCAGGATAGGCATGTTATCAGGATAGGAACCAGTCCCTGGAGAAGGGCATTGTGCTTACTGGGGAAGCCCCTCAATGAGATGGATTGACACAGTGGCCCCAACCACAGACTCAAGCATATGAGGGATTGTGAGGATGTGGGAGGACCTGGCAGTGTGGTACCTTGTGGTATTATTATCTGTGGCTCAAAAGCAGCCAGAGATAAGAAAATATGCAAACGTATAAGACTGCCTGGCATCCAGTAAGCTTTTTACGGGTGCCACTGTAAAACAGCATTCGAGTCTTGGCATATTTCCTCCTTTCATTTTTTTGCAACAGCCTCAGTATAGGAAGCCCTGTGGGCTCTGTCAGGTAGGCATTGGGCTGCTAACTGCAGGTCAGTGGTTCAGCAACGCTATGTTGTAAATTTGCATCAACTTGATGGTAATGGGTTTGGTTTTTGGCTTGGTTTGGGCACAAGATAACTTTTTCATTAAACCCTCCCATAGAAATCATTCTGTTTTTCTGTAAGCCAGGATGTGCCCCGAGTTAGCCACTGTAAGTTAAAGATGAGTGTTTTGCATGCGTTTGGTGGAGTTGGATACTTTTTATTCCTCTCCGTAGATGGGAGTACTATAAGAGCCCTTTTTCTTGAAAGTGGAAAAATGAAGGAAGCCCAGATTTAAAAGCAAATAAATCCAAGCCATTCAGCAGTTTATTTTGTAATGGCAGTGTTCTTTTATAAATCCTAAGGAATGGAATCAGTAAAATATTGACTTTCAAAGGGTGTTCCCGCCCTCTGTACATAGACCTTGTGGAAGTGATACCTGGAGTCAGCACACATGGCCCTTGGTGCAGGCATACACAGAATAAAGACGCCCTCCTAGCAGCCGTTCTGCTGTCATTTAGGGATGCCTCTCTTCTAGAGCTCAAAGGGAGGGGGGCGTGTCCTTGTTCCGGTTGCCTGGCCAAGGAGGAGGGAGGGCCTTTAGCTTGAGGAAGCAGCCAAGAAAAACTAAACTTGCCAATCAAGTCATTTTTGCCCTGCATTTTGGCACTTCCTTCCCGGCAAATACAGTGCTGTGGCTTTACCTCCTTTGACTGAGGGGTGTGCTTCTCAGTATGTCATTTCTAGTCCCACGTTGCCTGCGTCATTGTCCAGTTACCTCTCATTTTAAATTCTCTGGGTTCAAAGAATTAGTTCTTGTTAACTCAGTAATTTCAAAATTAGTTGGGGTTTTTTTTGTGTGTGAAAAGCCATAATGCTTTTCTTTTGGTCAATAGCTATTCTCATTGAATATTGACTACGTAGGTAGCCAACAGCATGTTAAAACACCTGATCATCTATATTCATTTGACCAAATCTTGAACACCTGCCATGTACCAGGCATCCTGCTGAGCCTGGAGATAAAGTGGTGAGGAAATTGGGCCTAACACCTACCCCGGTGGAGCTTGTATTCTTAATCCGTTTTTAGCACGAGATGAAAGCGAGCTGAAAGATGAGAGGAGTAAGACAAAACAGGCTCGAAACCAGCTTCCCACAGAGACACCATGATATGTAGTCAAGTATCTTTTAACTACTGTGTTTACCCTTCTATGTGCATATCTGCCTATTGGTTTAATTGGCATATTTTCCCAAGTAAGGTCTAGTTTCAGTCCAGTCTGGCCATATAAAGATGTCCCTGATTCCCGTAAAATGAAAATGGCTTGAATTTCCTAGGAAAATACAAATACCTGCCATGACCTTTATTTCTTCTGAGAATCAATCCTGTCCTCATGGCTTTATTGAAATGACATTGCAGGAGAACCACAGCTATACACTGGGTGGCGAGGCCAATAGTCTGGGCAAGGCATGGTTTGTGTGGTAATCTAGCCCAGCATTCCCATGGCTGTGGGTGCAAGCACCACCTTGGTTAGGTGCTCGCTGCGAGGTCAGAAGCAGGTAGGGCTGGATGAGGAAGTCCACCCGAATCTTTGTGTTTGTCCGTCCGCTTGTCACACACCTCGGCTCTGAGTCGAACTGTGTTAGAAACGAGCGGCCTGGACCTGGACTAACCTGCTCTTCCTGTCCCTCCACAGAGGCCTTCCCCGCGGAGAAGCAACAGTCCTGACAAATTTAAACGGCCCACGCCGCCTCCGTCTCCCAACACACAGGCCCCAGTCCAGCCGCCTCCGCCTCCGCCTCCACCACCCATGCAGCCTGCGGTCCCTTCGGCAGCCGGCTCGCAGCCCCCGCCTCCGCATCATTCAGTGCACCCTGCCTCCCAGCCCTAATGCATGTGCTCAGTCAGAATTCCAAGGTGGGACTCGTGAAACGGAGCCGTCTATCTACTCAACGCCAAAGGCTTCCTTCCCTGGTATCTCTGGGTCTGACGTATTTGCACTGAGGGTGTCTAGGCTTCGCCCTTCGTTGTGTTGTACATGTTTGTCAGCAGCTCAGCCAGTGTGTGGGTCGACGACACTACACAGACGCCTTTTCCCTCAGTGTTTTCCTTGAATCTCCACGGACACCATTCCCTGGCTGGCACGTGCGCTATTCAGTGTCTGGTCAGTTAGCAGCCGTGTGCAAGTCTTGCTTGGCCCCAGAGCTTCATTTTCTTGGCTTTTAGGTTTATAAAGTTAAAAAAAAAAAAAAACCTCTTTGTACCCCCCCCCCCCCCCCCCGCACCCCCCCGCAAATGAGTTTGCAGAGAATGACTAAGCAGTTATTACTACCCACCCACCCATTATGGTGTTTACCAAACATAAAATAATTCAGCACTACAATTCTCACCTTTGAAAAAGAGCTAGCTCTCAGTGTAGAATGGGAAGTTAGATGAATCCGTGCCCCAAGACAGATAATACTGTTTAATAGAGCGTTCCACAGATAACTTTTGACAGGCTATTTTCGGTATCTATTGACAGCAGTGTTGAAACTCTTGTAAAAGAGATAGCCTAACGGATGGACGGCCCTATGGTTATTGTATATGATGTGGTTCTTTCCTTTATCTTTAATGGTCCCTGTACTCGTCCACCCACTAACATGAGTTGGTAAATGTTGTTCCTCCTCGCTCTCCCAACCCCCCAACCCCGCTCCCACCAGTGGTTTGGGTGACTGATTAGAGTGTGCTGTTTGATTCTGCTGCCGAAGGCAATGTGATTGTAACAAAAAGTTATCTCCCCCTTCCGTTCTTTATTCTTGTCTCCCTAAAATAGAGCTCGAACAAGTATTTTAAAAGTGCAAAAAAAGATAAAGAAACTGTTTGACATGAACCTTATAGGAATTTCTTGGCATCATGACCGCAAAATGCAGTTGTTGCTTGGCAGAAAGGAAGAGAGGCGTGTGGCCCATAGCGCTGCCGGATGCTCGTGCACCCGGATACAGCCAGTGCAGAGGACAAAGAAGTCTCTTCTGAATACGTTGTTTGCATTAATTTCGCACAAACGGATCATTGGTTTCCCTCGGAAGCGGGACACCATGAGCCACCCTTTCCTTCATACTTGCAGCATCTTTATTTTTGTCTCTCCACCCCCCACCCCCAGCAGTTACTGTTTTGTACTTTGGTAGTAAAGTGATTTTTACCACCTGTGTTTGCATATTTATATATGCTGTGGACAAAAAGATAATAATAACTTACTAGAGAATGTATATTTTATGATGAGAATGTGTTATCTGTTGGATAATAATCAGAACTGAAAATTAATTTATCGGTAATTTTTAAGAGTTCATGTTTTGTGACAACCATCTCTAATAGCTAACTCTCTATTGAACATATTCCTAAACAATAAGGAACCACGACATTGTAGATATTTAATATTGTACAGTATAGAAACCTCCATATTTGCCTTCAAATGCCTATTTAAGAGTTACAGAATGAAAAAGCAAATGTCTTGTTGAATAATAGTGTCTGACTAGGATTTAAAGGACTCGAGATAAAAGCACCAGGAGGACATCTCACCTCTTCCTGCTTCCACCCCAAACTGAGAAAGTCACTCCTCCATTCTTTGGAAGACACTGTCCATCTGTATACATTTTAGTTATGATGTGTGTGGTATACTAATCACAATACAGTTCTTGTAGGCAGAGAAAGAGTTTGGTATTTAATCGAGGCTTTAGGCTCTTCACACAGTCGGGCTGGGTTGGGTCAGAACCGGAGGTTTCACCAACAGCCCGTTGGGCCATTCCAAGGAATTCCGAGAGGCAGGCACAGTTTGCTCTCATGGTACCGGTCGCAGTTTTTCTTATAGGAGAGAGATGGTAAATGTTTACAAGAATCTTCTACACGATCATAGATTTCAGTGCTGGTGGGTCGTGTAGCAGTGGTCTCTTCCGTGTATCCAGTTACCTCCCCGAAGCACAAAGGCCCAAACATTGCCATGTGATGCGATGCTGATCCGTGCCCCTTAGAGACGGGGGTTTCTTGTTGACATTCAGACTTCTGCTGAGAAGTAGTGCTGGTTCCCGTCGTCATTTCACCTCCAGGTGAAACACAGCTCCTTCCAACAGCCCCTTTTTACCATCAACGCAGTCACTTCTCCCCTGTAGACATTCGGCATTGACAGAACACACACTACTGTTTTGAGCGTACGCCATTTCCTGGTCTTTTCACCTGTTTTATGACCCCGTGTGGAGCCTGTAACATTTGGGCAGTAACGTCTAGGACAATTTCTTGGCGGTTGTTTAGCTACCAAGGACCCATAATCTTCAAAACCTGACCCCGAAGAGATGAGGGAACCCTCATTTCTGGAAAGCTGACTTAACGCAGGGCACCTTTCATGGGGGCCGAAAATAGTAGTGACTGTTCATCTATTGTCCACTGGCCTGACTTCCAGAAGGCCCTTGTGAGACAAGTAGCCATCACAAGCACAGGCAGGAGCAACAGTAGTTTAGGACAGCCTGCTTGCCTGTCTTGCGGACAGAGACCCTTGGCTACCACTGTGCTGCTGATAGGACAAGCATTCCGTTGCCATGCCTTTTATATAAAACCAAACTGCTTTACCTGATACCTGACACCTCTCTCAGCCCTGAACTTACTTTTTTCGTGGGGCTGGTGGGCCGTCTGGACAGAAATGAGAGATTTGGCAGATGGTAGACGTACTTAAGACTTAATTTAACTCACTCCTTTGCTGGCTGAACAGTCTGAAGTTCTGAGCTCCTGAGACACTTACCAGCAACCCTGGACTGAATGTTGACACCAAGGGCCGCCCCTTTGCGGGTGGCTGTTAAATGCTTCCTCGAAGCAATAGGTACCATGAATTTTTGTGAAGTGTTCCGATGGTAGGAAAGTAGAAACTGTATCTCCTTTTGTCAGGTAGACATGAACTTTCCCCGCATGAAGCCTTGCTTACAAAGGCTGCCCAGTAAGGAAAAGCATGGGTTCTTGTGCTTTGAGAGCGTCCTATTTTTAGTCCGCACAGAAATTTCTGTGTACGTGCTCTTCTGTCTAGTTGTTTTATAGGGAACCAACATTGAAGACGTTGTAGTGATGACTACCAAAGAAACACATAGTGAAACAGCATTTTCTTTCCAAATTCTTACAAGAGCCAGCCACTGATGCTGCTGTATGAGTTCCGTGCTCAAGAGCCATTGAAACAGATTAAGGGGTTTTTAAGGTTTTTCTTTTTTGATAAAACATGCACACAGCTATTAGTATAAAGTGATGGAGCGTATTACCCACAGTCCTCAGCAATTGTGGTTAACCGCCAATCCTTTCGTTAGGCAATTGAAGGAATACAATATTCATGATAGCATGGGTGCTGTGTGTATGCGTGTGTGTGTATGTGTGTGTGCATTCATGCCTTAACTCGGTTATTGCTCAACTTTAGTTCTTGACTTAGTCTGCACTGTCATCTAGATCGTATTGTACATCTCTAGCTGAACTTCACCCTGGCAAAAAACAATGTTGCGGGCACACCAGTGTAAGAACGCATTGTTCCAGATGGGCCTGGGATTGGGTGACCCTGAGCCTTCTTTGGGCTTGATTTGGTACTTAACAGGTGAGACAACAGCGGACTCAAAAATCAAGCACCGTCAACAAGAAAAAGAGAACCAAGTGCTAGCATGTCTTTTGCCTCTGCGCATCCGTGCACATTGTATGTTGTTCATGATAGCTTGTCCTACAGCTTGTCTAGGTTGGAGTTCTGGTAATAGTGGCAATCTTGACATTCTGATCAGAGTTTAGAGAGATGTAAGACTTCCAATTAATGTTTTATTTACTTTGTGTTGATTAGTCTTTGATACATGTGCTGAATCAGAACCCTAAATAAAGATAATTTTTTTAAATGTACCTGTTGAGCCATCCATTTTCTCTTTACTCTGAGTCATAGCAATGAACCTTGTCTCCTTGTTGCTGGTGTCCAGTTAACCCAGGCTCTGAACACTAACACTTGCCTCATAGCCCAAGCCTAGGAAGAGGGCATTAAAGAGACGGATCCTGTTCTGTTTACTAATCAGACTGGAGGTTAGCTAGATGTGTAGAGTTTCTGCAAATTCATTGTCTGTACACTTAAGAATTGTGCACTGCTCTTTAATGTCCTGTTTCGATGTTTAAAACGTAACCTGTGCACACACTAGGCAGGTGTGGCTGTTATCAGAAAAATGGGAAACAGCAAATGGCAAGGATATCGAGAATTCATACTCGAAGGCCTTGCTGGTGGCAATGTCAAATGGTCTAGCTGCTCTGAAGGAGAGTTCGAAGATTCATCCGAAAGCGAGACAGTTACTAAAACCCACTGCCATCGAATTGATTGCAGCTTATAGTAGCCCTCTGTAGGGTTTCCAAGACGGAAATCCTGATGGAGCTGAAAGCCTCCTCATGGTTACCCTTCAGAATGGCTCAAGCATTTGACCCCCACACCTTGTGGTTAGCAGGCCAGTGCCACCAAAGCTCCTTAAACAATTGCCATGGGATCCAGTAGTTCCACTCCTACTGAAAAGACTGAAAGCAGGGCCACCAAATAGACACTCGTGCATCAGGGTTCAACGCCGCATTGTTCACAATCACCCAAAGTTGGGATCAACCCCAGCATCCAGCAGATGAACAGATAAGCAAAATGGCATGTTCACCCACTGGAATATTAATTCAGAAATGAAGTTCTGATACAGTGTACACACACCATGAGTAGACTTAGAAGATGTGCTAAATTAAACAAGCTAAACACCAAAGAACAGGTGCTGCATGATCGTGCATATGTGAAAGGTGAAGCCATGCAGAGAGAGAGAACAGGAGTAGTGCTTGCCAAGGGCTGCAGGACTGGGGGCAGAAAGAAATGGGTTACTGCTTAAAGGCTACCACATTGATTTGAGTGATGACCAGCTTTGGAAATGGATAGTGATGATAGTTGCCCACCATGATGACAAGCAGCATCACTAAGTGACACATTCAAAAGATGTTGCAAAGTGACATTTTGATCAGGAATGTCAAAAGATAAAAAAAACCTAGCGTAAATCCCACAATAGAAGATAAAAAAGTAAGCCTAGGCTATGGAAGTGGAAACATCCCCAAAGTATCACTCGCACGTGCACGCGCGCGCGCACACACACACACACACACACACTTCAGCTTTTTTACTTCATAATCTTAAAATTGTAAATCCTTCCGTATAGTTTTCTTTCAACTGTGCAGTAAAGCACATTGTGCGGCTTAGAGTCAGTAGCCCACGCAGAGATCCTGGGTAACCAGCTTCAGGAACGGCTGAGGCCTCTTCTGCCATGGATTGGGATCAACAGTGCTAACCACCACCATTTGTTTCATTAGCAGTTCTGTAACTGGTGGCATGGTGGGTTGCACATTGGGCTGCTAACCCCAAGGTCAGGCGTTTGAAGCCACTTGCTTCTCCATGGGACAGAGATGAGGCTCTCCCATAACGATTTACAGCCTCTGAAATCCACAGGGGCAGCTCTGGTCTCTCCTTAGAGGGTTGCTGTGAGTCAGAATTGAGTCAACGACAGTGAGCTTAATGGGCCAGTTACTTAACCTCTGGGCCTCACGTTCCTTACTCATAAATATCAGTATTATTCATGGTTGCTTTTAGGTTCCATCAAGTCCATTTTCAACACGTAGTGATGCTGTGTGATAGCAGAACTGCCCCATACTGTTTGCTAGATTGTAATATTTCTGGGACCCAGCTCACCAGGTCTTTGTCCTGTTGAATTACTGAGTGGTTGAAACCACTGTGTTAGTCTGGGTACTTTAGAGAAACAAATACACAGAAACTCATATGCATAAGAGAGAGTTTTATATAAAGGGTAAGTGCACATCAAGAAAACATCCCAACCCAGTGCTGCCCAAGCCCATATGTCCGACACCAATCCACAAAGTCCTCCTCCATCTCACAAAACAGACGCAGTGATGCCGACTGCAGGAGGAAAGCCGAGTCAGTGAGCGTGTAAGCATCTCAGTGCTGGCAGGGGTCTCCACACGGCTGCTCCAGCACCCAAGGCTGCATCGGGGTAGGCCCATGTGGCTTCTCCTCAGGGATGTCTTGCAGGAAGTGAGCCTTGCCAGCTGAAGCAGGGAACTGCTAAGGCAGTTGCACCCTGGTCCAACCATTCCAAAGCAAGAGACCCGAGAACTAGAAAGGTGAGGCTCATCGAGCCATTTATGCCCGTCAATTAACCCCACATGTGTTTATCAGCCAGGTTGGCACAATAAACTAACTCAAACACCAACCTCTGATCAGCAGACAGATTCTCAACTGTGGTGCCCCTCGGTCTGGCAATGTGATCGCCCGGCCTCTACAATGACATCAGCACTAGGAAAGCCTTTGCCCCTTTGCACACATGATAAGACACGAACACTTCTCTGTCCGTTCATTCAGGAAGAAACTGGTATGAATGAACATCTGGGGCAAAGACCAGTTTAGGGGGTGGGAGAGGGGAGCAGGGGCCAGGTGGTAGTGGTAGTGCATGGCTTGTCAGTGGACTGCTGGGTAGCTCAAATGGTTAAGTGCTTCACTGCTGGTTCAAAGGTTGGTGTTCGAATCTTCACAGGCCATTCTCTTAAGAGCTCTGAGCCGCTTTACGCTGCCCTGCGGGGTCAAGTGAGTTGAAATAAACGTGACGCAGGGTAGATTGCCAGCTGCTTTTTAAAGACGCTCCCAGCAGTTGAGTCCCCCTTCCACAGGCGGGGGAAAAAAAATCACAACCCTTAACATTCTGTCTGTGGGAACCCTGACTAAGTACAAAGGAAGTCTAGGTTCTTTCTCTTTGAAAGGGGAGCTCTCCAAGAGGTGCTTGTCTCCCTGTGCCTTCCGTGGGATCCCTCCTCCTTCATGGCGAGTTTCCTCACGCGGTGAGTTGAAAGCACCAAATGACAAAACGCCGCCGCCACCGCCGGCAACGAGGCTGTCCTTGTCACTTGATGGAAAGGTTGACCTGAAATTACTCAGGCCATCAGGAGTCAAGTGCTGGTTCACCCGGCAGCTTCGTTTTCTAAGCCGGACCCCGGGGATGGCAGTGCTTACCTGGGCAGGATGGGCCGAACGCAAAACGGGACCAGAGCGCTGGACAGCGCTGGGCAGAGCCGCCACTGCCTGCGTGCCCTTGACCCCTTCCAAAGAAGGCCTGGGACGGGTGGCGTCGCTCCACGTTTGCCCCCAGCTGCTGCTCGGGAGACGGAGGAAGCCATCGGCTCCGTGAACATTTACAGCCTCCGAGACCGTATGCAGGGTGGCTGTGCATTGTAAACAATTGAGCAGAAGTGGGGTGTGCTCGTTTGTTTATACTAACCTTGAAAGGCTATGAATCCACACGGTGCTTCTAGCATGGAAATGAATCCTTTGGAAACTTTTTCCGAACTATTATTTGATAAAGCCCTACCCATACATCTGGGCCCTGTTTTATTAAGGTAAGTGCAATTTAAGTTAACCCCGGCCCCCTCTCTCCCAAATATGTAATTGTAGACATGTTGTTGGAGCTGGTCAGAAATGTCAGGTCCCGACTCAAGCTGTTTCACATTCTCCGTAGACCTGGAGGAAGTTGGTGGGTGGTAAATCTCGGCGTGTGTCTGTGGGTTTGTTGCCAGGCGGGATTGACTTCCTGTTTCTTGAAGATTCCGTTCTGCCTTACATACCACCCCTGGGTTTATATTGCATTGAATGCTACTGAGCTAACTATATTTCAATACCTTTCTGAAGATGTCCTTCGCTGAGAGCCTAGTGTCTGCTTGCACTGGACATGCAGAGAGCTGGTGCCTCGCAGTGCGAAGTAGCTGGCCTGAAGACTTGCCCCGCTCAGGGCGCTGCGCTCACTCACTGTGACGGAGCCACTCTCTGGGGACACTTCCACAAGGTTGACCACGTGACAGGCATTACTGTTATTTACGGAAAGCAAATGGTAAACCACACGAACAGATTACATATGTGGAACTAGTCCCACCTCCCGACCTGTGGCTCACTTTGTACAAGGGGTACCTGCTTACTCCTGAAAGGGGGGCCATAATTTATCCCCACCCCCCACCCCAGTTCCCCAATACCCTGTGTTCATTCTGATCTCACTCCGCAGGTGGGCTGTGGTTGAAGTCCGAGGCTGCGCTGAGCGCTGACTGCACCGCTGCCTCTGGATGGGCCATGATGCCTGGGGCCGCCGTGGCTCTGTCGCACCTGCAGGGGGTGCCAGGCAGCACCTGCCCGATACAGTCAGGCCTCTGCCCTGCTGACCAGTGCGACTGTCTCAGGTGCACTATCCGCCCGGCTCAATGCTGCCTGCCAGGGCCTGGACTAAGGCCCTACAGATGCCAAACTCGATGAACCAGCAAACCCATGGCCTTTATTTTCAGCATTACAGTCCTGTCGACTCATTTAACTGATCTAGGCAGTTCTCAGAGAGACTCCAAGACCGAAGGGCATACTCTGTTTCATGCTCTCGAAGGTGACAAGGTCTTTAGAAATCTGTGAGATTAATCACTAATACAGGGAAGCATCCTGTCGGGCACTAGGCTTGGCCCGCTTGCAAGAGCAGCAAACCCACCAATCCCATAGGTGAACCACAAACCCTCAATCTTATTGGATGGATTACGAATTGTGTAACTTGTAAATTGACCAATCCCTGCAAGCCATTGATGCGGTTCAGAAATAGACCAGTCACTTGCAAGACTTCGCACCAAAGAGGAGAGGTAAGTAATTTGTTTTTAAATTGTGCACTTTAAAAATCAGGCAAATAAACAGAAAGAGGAAAAAACACAGCCCACAGTTACTCAGATGATAGAATTGTTATACAAGAATGCTAAAACAGTGAATGTTCCTTGTGCTTAAGAAGGTAGAGGTGGGAGCGGGGAGGGAGGGGAAA